AGTCAGACCAGCCTGCGCGGAGGGTGGGAGGTGGAGATCTGCCAGGATTGAGAGCGTTGATGCCATGGTGAGGGTGGATTGCAGGATCCTTCGGGCTTCGGGGAGGTCTTATGATGGTGGAATGCGGGCATTATCACTGACGACATTGAGAACGATGGAGTCTGTTGAGCCGGTATTCGACAGAGATTGGCCAGTCTCCTCGTCCACGGCAACACTGCGCAGCAGGCAGTGTCGGACTGTTAGATAACGTGGGTTCTTGACACGCGGTTGATGCACAGCTTACCGCTAGTTGCTCATACCAGCCGCATGCATATGCGTGCTACCCTCCGTATCGTGATAGCAGAGTGGGTAAGCGGAGTTCATGAAAGGAAAGTCCGACCGCAGCCAGAGTTTGGCCGGCTGCACCCCAAAAGCAGGCCCCGTCCCTTCATTCGAGCACTCATCAGGCATTGTCCAGACAGACAAGCTACTGTGAATATTGATTCGGTTTGAATCGAATTTGAACCGAGATGTTATGCTTTTCTATGTAGGTTACGACGGGCCTCATTTTCTGCATGCATTGAAGTATTTCCTGAAACATCCTGCAGGAAAGGTTCCCATCGTCCGTGTCGAATTCTTTTTCGAATCCTCGGGTTTTAAAGGCAAGTCATCTTCCCAGACTAGGAAGGTTAGTGGGAGATGGAGCAGGGGGTTCAACGACCTCAAGAGACAGACCAGCTGCACCTCGACTACGTACTGGCTTAGCTTCAATAAAGTCTCAATATAAGAGCAGTCTTTCTTCTTATAAGTAAACTGCAATATCATTGGAACTTGAAGTATGAATATCAACATCGTCATCGCGATCTAGGAATGCCACTCACTTAGATAGACGCTGAATTAATCATCCTGCACTGTAATCCTCATTTCAATTTTTTTTTTTTTTTTTTAAAAATTATACAGTCCATAAAGATCAAAGTTTTCAGCAAAATAATATTGATTTCATCAGACTTCTATTCTAGCTATTGTGCAATTTCCCCATTTGTCCATACAGCTATTTACGTTGTTGAGAAGCAGTCACACTCTGACAGATCCGATAGATGATACGTGTACTACGGGCATGTTTCAATAACGGTGAGAAACTGTGAATTTACTGTTCGGAAGTCTGACTTGAAAGAGGACCACAGAAAGACAGACTTGAACCCACAGACTCAACTCACTTCTTGGCCATTTCCCAGATTGGTCACCGACAACAATGGTGGCTACTCTCGGTAAGTCCCGGTGAGCCTCGGTATGGAGGCTCTGCTTTGGTGCCGGAAGAAGATTTAGCCCCGGGAATGCCGACTTCCCTTTGCCGAACCCAATTGCCATGGGGTGCGGGTCCCCCACTTCGGTGTCGAGGATCATGCTGGGGAAATGTAGGGGAAGAGCTATTCTCCCCCGCCCCGGTACTTCAGCCAAAGCTACCCCCGAAGAACCGACATCGCTCACGTTTATCCGACTTGTTTTCGTTAGTTTTCTTGTCTCTTTTCCTTTTTGTTACTCTCCATCTCTTGTACAATACCAATTCCTCCCGTAATTCACTGTATTCACTGTCAGTTGGAAGAGCAGAAGCTTCCGGGTGTCTCATTCTACAGCAACCATGTCGCTACCCAAGGGAATCTCCTCCGTGCTCAAGAAGGCGCCTTCCGACGTCGTCATCCTGTCGTCGCTGCGAACCCCCGTCTGCCGCTCGTACAAGGGACAGCTGAAGGACGCATACCCCGAAGAGCTGCTTTCCACCGTCCTCAAGGCCACTCTCGAGGCCAACCCGAACCTCGACCCCGCCAAGATTGAAGATGTCGCCGTCGGCGTCGTGCTCTCGGAGCTCGGTGGCTCCAAGGCCGCCCGCATGGCCATGAACCACGTCGGCTACCCCAACACGACCTCCCTCTACACCGTCAACCGCGCCTGCTCCTCATCATTGCAGTCAATTGCCCTTGTCGCATCGCAGATCCGAACCGAGACGATATCCGTGGGAATTGGCGCCGGTATGGAGAGCATGACCCGCAACTACGGCAGCCGTGCGATTCCCGTCGACGTGTGGCCGGAACTGAAGGATTCTCCGGTCAAGGACGCTAGAGACTGCGTCATGGCCATGGGCACTACTTCGGAGAACGTCGCCGAGCGCTATGGGGTTTCCCGCGCGGACCAAGATGCGTTCGCCCTTCGCAGTCACCAGAACGCGTCGCGCGCAGCAAGCGATGGATCCTTCGCCAAGGAGATCGTCCCAGTGAAGACAAGGTTCCAAGAGAAGGATAAGCAGGGAAACAACGTCGGAGAGGAGAAGATTATTACCGCCACTCAGGACGACGGCATTCGCGCGAACATCAGCATCGAGGCTTTGGCCAAACTGAAGCCGGCTTTCAAGGCGGACGGTGCTAGCACGGCTGGCAACTCATCGCAAGTTTCCGACGGTGCCGCCGCGACTCTGTTGATGCGCCGAAGCACCGCAACTGAGCTGGGCCTTACTGATAGTATTATCGGCAAGTTCGTTTCGGCTACCACTGTCGGTTGCAAGCCCGACGAGATGGGCATTGGCCCAGCCATTGCTATCCCCAAGCTGTTGAACCAGCTCGGACTGGAGAACAAGGATGTCAGCCGCTGGGAGATCAACGAGGCTTTCGCCAGTCAGGCCATCTACTGCCTGAGAGCCTTGGGCTTGGAGCAGGCTTATGAGGACGGCAAGGTGAACCCCGACGGTGGAGCTATCGCTCTTGGTCACCCTCTGGGTGCCACGGGAGCCCGCATGACCAGCACCTTGTTGCACGGTCTGGGCCGATCTGGTGGCGAGGTCGGTGTTGTCAGCATGTGTGTCGGTACCGGCATGGGAATGGCTGGCTTGTTCGTGAGGGAGTAAGAAAAGAAAACAACACGATACCAAAGAATGACTTCATGTAAAGTTATGACTATGAGAAATACATAAGGCTCAGATACCACAGCCAAGCTAGGGCTCGCAGTTACATGACTTATGGTACAATGTCGCCGGTGACTTTTCTCAGGCGATTTGCGAGGCGTATTTATGCATGGCGTGGGCGCAGTCATGCATGTCTCTCCCAAGTGCCGCCATTGAGGGGTTCCTAAGTAACAGCTTGTGTTACTATGAAAGCACGAGCCCGGTCATCATAGGGCAAGCTGTTAGGGCATAAATGATAAAAGTCGTCCCTCTCTGACCACCACACGTCCGACCTCAGGCATCCGCGGCTATCTAGCATTCACAGGACCTTTTCACGAGGGAATCCGCAAGGATGGAAGTCATAGGCGTTGCGGCAAGCTTCATCGCCATTGGGCAGGCATTGATTGCTGGGCGTCATGTCGTGCATCTGTTACATAAGATACCGAGGATAGGAAATGAGTTGGCTTCGCTCAATAATGAGGTATGTTCGCGTCTAGGAAAGCATTAAGTGAATGTGATTAAATACTCCGTGTTTCTGAGTAAGCTGACTCACTGAATCATTCACACCTCAGATAGAGAGCCTTAGAGCTGCGGTCGAGGCCGCCGAGCTTCGAGGAGTGGCGTCTTTGGGAGGCACCCCTGAGACGCCTGATCTCAGGCTAGCGAGAACTCGGCTAGATGAGACTGCGAAAGATCTTGAAAATATTCGCCAGCACTGTACGCGAACTATAGATGACGGAGGCAAGATCAAGGCGAAGAAAACCAGGTGGTTCCTGTTACAGAGTGATTTGAGAGAGTGTCGTGGCAAGATCCGCGATGCTCGAGGAAATCTTCAGCTCGCTCTGCTGACTCTGAACTTACGAGAGACTTCGTGGGTATACAGATTTTAACAGTTGGGTCTCGTGATGCTAATGATCACTGTCTAGGCAAATCGCACTCCGTGTTGAGAACTTTACTATTCACCCAGTCGGTCAGAAGCCACCCACACTTGAAGCAACTGAGAGCGCAGGAGAAAATCTTCCTCTTGGCCCGCCCGCACCGCCATCTCTCGCCCAGATACAGCCTGTCGATATGCCAATTCAGAATATCACACAGCAATTGGGCCAACTCACCGTCTCAAAATTTTCAGACGGACCACATACGTCCCGACCATCTCTAGAGACGGAAATGATCGTTTTCAGGGGAAAGCTGTCCATAGCTTCTGGCTGCCCTTGCCCCTGTTGGTGCCGCTGCCATGTCACAAAATCAACGTTCTTTGAGCCGGCAAGCTGGGCTCGCAATCTTTTAGGGTCCTTTTCTATCACATACAATCAACGTGCAGTTTTCGGCAGAGCTGTTGAATGCAGTCAGACTAACTGCAAAGGAAACCAGAAGACGTCAACTACATTTGATTTCAAGTTCCCAGCTTGGTTCTTCTCCCGGTATATATCCTTTCGGGCCTCTATGAACACTTCCACCGGATGGAGGATATCGCTGCGACCCGTCAGGGTTCTCTCTGACTCAGCACCAATATGGCACATTCTTCAAATGAGAACAAGAACAGAAGTACAGGAGTACATGCTACGTCATGGACCGTTATTTCCCGACGACTATCACCATAGTGGAGGTTACGGTCTTCTAGAGGTAATAAATGCTTCTCATTATCTCCGACGAAGGTCACTCACTCTTGAAAACGTAACGTAGTGCGCTATATCTGCGGCAACACCTAATGTCTTGGAGTTTTTGGTGCAATTTTGGAACGAGGAGCTCCGAAAGGAAAATTACAACCAGTGAGTGCCCCTCGAAGGCATTTTTAGCTCTGGAAAGGTTTCTAACGTGGCTGCTACATAGTTGGAGTTTGACAGCTCAAGTGCGTAGAGAACTTGCCGACAGGCCGAAAGCCTCCTCTCAGAAGTCGGATTCATATCGACGAATCATCTTTTACGGCGAAGATATCTCCGGCGCAGCACAAACGCCCCTGCACCAAGCAGCTTGCAGTGATCCGGGCGACGCAGACGCCGGAGAAGCAATTCAAAAGGCCTTTGGTCAGTATCCATGGGCAATTGCCCAGTGGAATCATGAAGGAAGGACGCCATTAGAACTAGCCGCAATGTACGGCAACCTGAAAGCTCTACAAGAGCTTATCAATTTGGGATGTGACGTCAACCAGCCAACCTTCTCTGGTCGTACAGCACTCATGGGAGCAGCACAAATGGGCCATATTCACGTGGCTAAATGTTTGCTCAGATCCGGTTGCTCCTCAAATGCAAGGTCTTTGAAGGGCGGCTCGGCGATGCACTTCGCCGTATGTCCCATGAATGAGCCTGCGGATGACCCACCGGGTATGATTAGAGTACTACTTGCAGCGGGTGCCTCAGCGACGGCTGTGGATCTACTCGGAAATACGGCACTGCATCTATTGGATGACTCGAGATTCGGCAGCGATGCAACGGGAACGAAAATTCGCTTGCTTGTGGAAGCCGGAGCTGACATCAACGCGCGGAATAACGATGGCGGATCGGCATTATTCCGTGCGATTCGCCGCAACCAACCACAGGTCGTAAGGTGCCTTCTCAACGCCGGCGCAGCGACAGAGAACTATCGACAGCTAGGCGGCAGCCTCCTTCATGATGCAGCACTATATGCTGGCTTGGAAGTCCTGAGATGTCTTGAGGGTATGAAAACGTCTCGAATGAAAGCAGTGTGTTAGACGCTGAAGGGGACAGCCCTTGGGATTGCTTCATTTACGTCCTGAATCTTCCAGAGTGGGAGCTAGGCTCGCTTCGAAAGCCTGGACAGGAAGAGAAGGAACGTTTTGTCTCACTATACAGGACCATCCGAGATCGCGATTTACAGCTTCACATTGACAGGCTCGAATGGACACGCCGCTATCTCGTGGACAAGGACGCACGAGCAGCTAGCGCGCTAGAACAACTGGTTCAAGAAAACGAAACATTGGGACAATGGAGCTTGGTAAGAACATTCAAAGCAATTGCCTTGCAAGTAAGAGAAAACATGTGGGACGCTGCGGTAGAAGCGGTGGGGGAGAATATAGATCTCCTACACGCGAGAATGAACCAATCGCCGTGGCTTCAAACATCGCCCTACGATTGCATGAACAAAGCGTAAGCACCACATAAGAGACAAAAGCAATACTGGGGTAGTAGAGCTGTTCCAAAATTCTAATACTGAAGATAATTGACAGGAGTGTTGATGCGGAGGATCTGGAGAGAAGTCATCCCGATTGAGAATTCAGTGCATACATGACTAGTCGGACGAAATGTGATGTGAAGTGATGCTCATTTGATTCCACGCCACAGGGAGCGTGACATTTAACGGTCAGCATGCAATTAATATTCAAGTCTGAGCTATGGTGCATATATGGTCCGTTCAGACCATAGAATAGCTAAGAACTGCCCGGTCGAGTGTTTCTTCATTGGGTACATATCATATCTAACTCATGAAGCCAATACTCAGTAGTCTCGATGTCGAATGGATTCTCCACCTCAATGTCGGGTGGCTCGCACCACTGAACACCTACTTCTTCGGCAGCTCGTCTGTCTGCGTCAGACATCTCATATTCTTCAAGATTCTGCAGTTCCTCTTCAATTCGATGAAGCCAAAATGAGTCCCAGAAGTTAGCGAATCGCGAAGTATCGCATGCTTCTTCAGTTATGTATATCCGGGCTTCTTGGGCGAACTCCTCCACCAATTGCTCATGCAGCTTCAGAAGTGAGCTTTGTTCTTCATTGATGTTCTCGATGTCCTCGATATCAGCTTGGTCTTTGCCCGAATACATCAAGGAGTAAGCGTTGCAGCATGTATGTCTGAGACCCAAACCGTCGAATGTGGCATACCTAATTGCAGCCATGTATGTCAGCCTTGTCAAATCGGGACCACATCTGCTATAGTAATGTGCCATGGATCTTGTGCACATGTGAGAGACTGGTTCCACCCAGCGATGTCTTTCCGCCATGATACACTTCATCATCCAAGTGAACGGACTGCATCCACCCGTAGAACAGTGACAATGGCACCCGTCTGTGAGACCACGACGAATGACTGTAGCGCTCAATTTATCGAAAGCGGCTGGGATGCTAGGCCCCCCCGGATGCATCACATTCCAGGCCACAGAGTAAAAGGCGTAATGGGCGCCATATATGCCTGCCCCTGAAAGATCGCCTTCGGGCATGGTCGATGACGGTAGGAATAAGTCCGCCCCGTGCACTTCCAACCAACACATATATTCCGGCGTGAGACCACGGTAGCCGGATATCTGATATGGTGTTGAGTTGATGAAGTATGACGCTTGTGGTTTGATCCCGTAACGATAGAACAGATGTCCAATGCGAGGGTCCGTAACTTCGTAGTAAGCCCATTCGTAATCATGCTCCGAAGCATCTTGCAGTCCCTTCAGAAATCCGTACCCCCCACCTCGTCTGCTGGTGTCGCGAGCTCGTCTTTTATGCAGGTGCTGCAGAAGCTTCATTTGAAAGACGTAACGTCGTCGCGCCAGCTCAGATGCACGACCAAGAACGAAAAACAGGTCGCACGTGCCGTCAGCACTTTGCCGTTTATGCCAACGGGGGTTGCAACCTGCTCTGAGAAGAATTTCCACAGATTGAGTGCAGGCACAACGTCGACATCTTTGATAAGTAGAGCCATTCACACAAAAAGAAGAGCTACGAATCATCGCGGTGTCGAGTGCTGTGGCACCGGTTATGTCGGTCTTCCCCAATAACTCATGGTCTGCGGCTTCAACCAAAACGGCAAGGATTCGGGGTCGCGTTGCAGCCAAGTGCAAAGGAGTTTGGCCGTAGATGTCGGCCTCATTCATTGAACTAGGGAATTTTTCCAAGATACGAACCGCCTCGGAAACATCATCACGAATCACTGCCATGCTGAGTGGCCCGCACTCGCAAGCTACGAAACCTTCAGTGAGCAAGGCATCAGCACGGGAAAATGCAGAATTGCCATACCTTCGGCATAACCGTGTGATGTCTCATAGAATGGCTTGCTATTGAGACAAATAGCGTTTTCTTGGCCTGCGCGTTGGGAGCCCGCCACGACGGCGGATTGCTCATCACTGTTTGCGCACAACAGAATGTTGACAACTTCGTGATTTTGCTGAAGCGAATTCAAGTGCAGACGTCTCAATGGAGATATTCCTACAATCAACTAAGCAACATGACGTAAGGTAGGACCAAAAATGGTTTCACGATGCTCTCACCTGAAATGTCGTATGAGAACGCTGGTACGCCGCAAAGCAAGAGCAATCGAACGAGCTCAACGAGCCACGTCGTACGGGACGGCTCAACGCCAGAGATGGACAGCCATTTACTCATCTATGGAATAACAGTCAGTCGTACTTCCACAGACGAGAAGGAAGGGGAAAATACCATCATAGCCGCATGGTGCATAAAGCTTCTATTCCTCCCATCAACAGCAGAGGGACACATTCTGTTATTCTCAATGAGCGTGATCAGCCTTTCCAAGCAAGCTTTCATGAACAAATCGGCATCTTGGGCTTTGCAAAAGTAAGATGACTGTCCCATCAAGCTTATGATGAGAGCGCCCTGATCTGACTCGAAATCAACTGTCGGATAGCAAGCCAGGTTAGGTCCAATACTATATCCCCCAGTACCAAAGGTTGAAATCAACGAAAAGTCGATGACAGACTTCAAAATTCCAGTAAATCCAGTGTACCTCAATCCTATGGTAAATCGCCTCTTCTCAGGTGAGTTAGATAGGGGACAATTTGCCCAGTGGCCTTGCGTCTCCAACTCAGTGGCAAGTCTCACGTGCCCTAGATGAACCTCCTTTCTAGTAGTAGTTCGTCGGAGCCTATGACAAGAGCATAATCCACCAGTGAGAGGGTTGTAGCCTAGGACTTCAGATATTACTCTATTACCATTCCATGAACCGGAGCTGGCTTCTGCATGCGACACGCGTTGTCGTTTGAATTGTATCGGCAGTTTAGCGTCGCGAAATGCCTGCAATGCGGCCTGTTTGCCAGCTATGCGATGATCCAGAAAGGGCGTGGCTTTCATTTGTCCTCCATGAGATTGAAGTCCTTCCAGAAGCTTCTCGAGGGACCGGAGCTTTTTCTGCTGCTGGAACAGTTGAGATTGTACCACTTCTTTTGATCGTCGGATGTCTGTCTGGACGGCATGGCTAAACTCGTGAAACGACGACACCATAGATCCTGAGTGCGATGCAACTGAATCTACCGCGAGATTCACATGAGTTTGCAAAGCAGAAAGCTGGTTTTCCATTCTCAAGACTGGCTGTCGTGTTGCTGCCGCCTGTGACCTAAGTATTTGAATCTCTGCCGCTTGAAGTCGGGCAGATTGCTCAATTGCAGACAGCCTTTCTTTGTTACAATTCGATATCTCGCTACGTTTATAGGACATTAGCACGGTGATGAGTTGTGACAAACACGGAGCCTGACTTACAGGTTGAATCCAGTCAGAGTCAGTTCCAGCAAATCGTTAGCCTGCTGCAAGCTCTGGGCAAGCTGTTGGAGTTTCGGACGACGGAATGGATACATTAACCTCTTCTTCCCTGTCTCCAGTCTAAGTTTCGACGTGCTGGTAGTGGAATCTATAAGCTCGAGGCGGAGACTCTCCACGAAACGTAGCTTCTCTTTGCAGGCTTCTATGTTCTGTATTGCTGCCTCGACGTACTCCTGATGTTGATTGCGAAGACTTGGTAATGATGCTTCTATGGCCCGCATGGTGGTTCTGAGAGAGTCGTTCCTGAGTTTTGCCCAGGCCAAGTCTTCCTGGCGGCAGTCAAAAGCATCAACATACTTGACTATGCCCTCGGTGACTTGTAAGCCAAGAGACAGCAAGCCGGCAACCGAAGCGGCCAAACCCACACTTTCGGCCGCCATCGTCCGTTCATTCAGAAGAAGAGTAGGACCTTAGGGTTACTGTAGCCGACGTTTGAACGAGGAGAAATGAGATTATCGCTGAAACATGCGAGGTTTTCCCAAGATAGTAGGAATATAGCAGCACCAGCTTCATGATAGCTTTAAGAAGCGGGGTAAAGTCAGGCTGACTGGGCATCATACGGGTGCAGATGACAGCCTGCCGTGCTTGTTTGTCACACTGAAGAAATTTCAGTGACCTCCCATGTAGGTGAATGTGATTGGATTATAGCTGTCCACTGACAGAACTGTTTGTCCTTGGCCCACAGTTTGTGGCACGTCGACCGCCTCATTTTGTGCCCTCTGCGGGCTGAGCCTCTGGTGACGTAGGGCGACTATTAGTTGTGATTGGTAAAGTTGCTGTTGCGAAGCTGAATTTTCACTGCATGAAATGCTTCTTCCGCAGGTGATCAAAATGCAGTGAAATTCGAGCTAGGCACCGATCTTGGACTGTTATATGGACGTAGCGAAACTTCGTGCAGTAGTTTCATAGACGCGACTCTTGGATAATAAACATTAGATCAAATCAGAACATTGAAATGGGATGAAAATGACCGTTCCTCCATTCATGTATAGTTCCTAGGTACGAAACGGGATAGTTGCAGTAGCAAGTTTGATCAAAAAGCGTGAAAGAACGGTTGTTTTGATTAAGTATAGACATTATGGGTGTATCTACGGTTGCCACCCAAGCAATATTTTATGTACCCAAAATCATTCCCTTGCGCCTCTAATTGCTCATGCTGCAGACATAACGAATGGTGAGAAGACTATCGTCTAGT